GAACTGAGTCTGCACGAAGGTTTAAAGGACCCTTTAAAAGACAGACCCCACCCATTTATACTCTCTCTGCTTCTTTGATCTCTGCCCCTCTTCTCTTCTCTCTGCCTCTTTCTCTTGAGACTGGACATGGCGGTCAGCCATTAACCCTGTTCCTCTTCTCAGTCCCTCTATCTGCAGGGCCTATAATAAACTGATTAATATGTCTCTTAGTCTCATGTCTCATCCTGCGCTATTCTTTCTAATTTAAACAAAAGAATAACATTTTGGCGCTTGTGTCTCATCTTGCCCCACCTTCTTCATTTCTAATTTAAGCAAAAATCTAACAAACAGGCCATTCATAAACCCCTGCAACCACTAAAGAACCATCTAGAACAGTGGTTCTCAATCTATGCGGCTCCACTCCTTAGGGGTCTACATATCAGATATTTACAACTCATAGCAGTAGCAACATTATAGCTATGAAGTAGCAACAAAATAATTTTATGACGGAGGGTCACCAGAACATGAGGAACTGTGTTAAAGGGTCAGGGTGCTAGGAACGTGGGGAACCCCGGCTCTAGAGCACATTCACTTGCTCTCCCATTTGTTCTAGATATTTCTTGTTTTTGTTTGGGACTAGGCTTCCTGTATCCCAGGCCGGCCTCAATCTACGTAGCCGAAGATAACTTTGGACTAACTTTGAACGTCTGATTCTCCTGCTTTACCTCCTAGGGCTGGGATCACAGTTGCTAACTGAATCCATCAAAGAAGTCCCACCGAGCTCACTGTCACTGGCAACAGATAGACTTTTGGCAAGAGTCATTCTAATGACAATGGTGAGGACAACATGGAGACTGGGAGCCACACTCATCTCCCTTGTCCCAACAGAAAGGGGGACAATTTTAACCTATTTTCTAGTAGCTGTGACCAAACACCTGGCGAGAAGCAACTCAAGGGAGAAGGGTTGACTTTGGCTCCATTTAAGAAGGGAGAGGGGCCTGTTGATGGGCCAAGGTGTCTGCCGCCAAGCCTGATGACCCGACTTCAATCCCTGAGGCCCTCACGGCACAAGGGGAGACCTCATCTACACAAGTTCTCTTCTGACCGCCGCATGTGCACAGTGGCATGTATGTGCCCCTCCTTCCACAAACAAATAAATAAATGTTTTAAGTTTTAAAAACAACAGAAGAAAGGCTATGGCCCATCGTGTCGGGGAAGGGATGCTGCAGACGGTGAGGCAGCTGGACACATTTCGCCTGTGTCAGGAAGCAGAGATGATCGCTGGTCATCAGCCTTTCTCCTCTGTCTTCAGCCTGGGACCCCAGCCCCTGGGATCTTGCTGCCACACTTAAGACGGGCCCTCCCACCTCAGTTAACCAATCTAGAAAGCCCCTCACTGACAAGGACAGAGGTTTGCCTCTGCGATGATTCAAGACCCTGTCGAACTGACAATGTTAAAGTGTGGCGGTGTGGTTTCTGTCCTGAGAAGTTGCTACCTCTAAGCACCAGTGCATTCTGGCCTTGACTGCATTTCTGAGGGCTTCCAACAGCGCTTTGTTCTGCTTCAGCGCTGCCCTGGCAGAGAGGGGGATGACAGGGGCACACAGGTCACTATCTCCCTCCCTTTGCCCTCTCCCCCTCTCTCCTCTCTGTCTCTCTTCCTCTCTCTCCCTCTCCCCCTCCCTTCCTCGGTCATGTGCCCCCCCCTTAAGTGTCTTCTTGTGAGGCACGGATGACCCCACCAGGACCTCCTGAGAGTAGAGGGAAGGCAGACACATTGGTGAGTACTGGGGCTGTCCCTTTTCTCTTAGCTCTAACTGGGGCAAAGCCTACAGCCTCCTGTCAGTAAATACACCCAGGACTGCAGAGAAAGACCCCATCACTGGGAAAGAGAAGGGGGTTTCAAGTCTTTTGCTTTCCCATCCAGTGGAGCCTTTGTTCCTAACAAGGTTCTAGGTCAAAACCGGGCCCTAATTCAGACCTGAAAGCCCTGAGCTGTTCAAGGCTGAGCTGGTGCAAAACGCAGCAAGATTTCGGACAGGAAATTGTGTGGCTGTGTGGGTGTGAGGGACCAGCTTCCTCCCTCTCTGACACTTTCTTTGCTTTGGGGACCTTGCTCAGCAGCCTCCCCTCCCCCAAGCCCAGCAGAGGCCTCTGCCACAGCAGCAGTGAAGGCTGGGTGATTCCCATCTTCAGCCAGTCCCCTGTCCCTCATGTCTCCTAGACACGATACCAGTTTTGACACCATACAGGACTCTCACTTCTTCAGAGTGGAGGCAGCTTGGAGAACGTTTGGTTTTCGGAATGTCTGTCCTCTCCTGCTTTCTCAGAGGGGATCCAGTCCCCAGCACCTTGGGCTATCCTTGTGTGGGTTCCCTGCCTTACTGCAGCACTGCTTAGGAAACAGGCAGAGGCCTTTTGGGCCTCCTCAAATTCAAGCCCAACCACACTGCTGCTAGTGAGGAAGTCTCAAGACGTCAGAAGTAATTTGAATTCAGTTATTGATAGCACATAGAGCAATCTGCATATTGGAACTAACTGGTGGCTCTGGGATGTTTAGAAAACAGCAGAATTTGTAGATTGCCTCTGAGGCTACGAGTCTACCCCTCACAGATGGGTCATCCTCAACCACAGTCCCCTGCCAGCACATTCAGACTCCAGGAACAAGGCCAGCTGCTGGCCAGGGACATTGGCCCGACTGTAGGCACCCAACAGGGAGCACTCTTGAACTATTCACCCAGTGGGGAGCACTCTTAAACTATGCACCCAAAGGGGAGCACTCTTAAACTATGCTCCCAAAGGGGAGCATTCTTGAACTAGTGACTTCCTCTTCTTGCACTGGAAACCCTCATCTGCAAAATGAAGGGTAGATGGGATGACTTTAACATCTCTTGTACTTAAAAAACCATTCTGTGGTTCTCCCAGCAGACATAAACGCATCTTATAACACTAGCCTTCTTAGGCCTCATAAAGGAATTAGGCAACTTTAGCCCTCGCATGTTAGAGACCAAGGGGTGCCTCCCAGGACGGGGATTGCAGGAGTAGCCAGTATCAAGCCCTTTGCGGAGGAACAGCCACAATCTATATTCCCTTTCTTCATTGCTTTTGCTTCCTCTCCAACTCTTGTTTTTGTTAGGGAGCGTGTGATACATGTGTTCATGTTCATGTGTGCCAGCACCTGTGCCTTCATGCATGTCGAGGGGGGAAGTCCACTGGATGTCTGTCTGTCTTCTCCATTGCTCCACACTGGATGTCTGTCTGTCTTCTCCATTGCTCCTGCTCCGCACTGGACGTCTGTCTGTCTTCTCCATTGCTCCTGCTCCGCACTGGACGTCTGTCTGTCTTCTCCATTGCTCCTGCTCCGCACTGGACGTCTGTCTGTCTTCTCCATTGCTCCTGCTCCGCACTGGACGTCTGTCTGTCTTCTCCATTGCTCCTGCTCCGCACTGGACGTCTGTCTGTCTTCTCCATTGCTCCGCACTGGACGTCTTCTCCATTGCTCACCCCCGGCCCCCCATTATTTCTTCTTTCACTTTCTTCCCTGTCCCCCAGACAGCATTTTTCCACTAAACCCAGCATGCATCGATTGGGCCAGACTGCCAGCCTGTTAACCACTGAGCTCCAGGGCCCACCTGCCTCTCCTCTGTAGTGCTGAGGTCACAGGTGTGCTCCACGGGTAGCTGGCATTTTCCATTTACGCAGATGCTGAGCACTGGAACTCAGGGCCTGGGGCTCGCACAAGGAACACTTCACTGGCTGCGTGATCCGGCCAGCACAGCTCTCTCTTCCCTTTTTTCTTCTTTCATTTTTCTTCCTTGGCATCTGCACTTTCCTTTCTGTCTCCACTTCTTCTTCCCTTTATAAGACAGCTCCACCTAAGGTTCTGAGCTGGACTAACCTGATGGTGGTGGTACAGGCTTTTACTCCTAGCACTGAGATGGGCGGATCTGTGAGGTCGGGGCCAGCCTGCTCTACAGAATGAGTTCGAGGACAGACAGGGATACACAGAGAAACTGTCTTGAAAAGCAAAACAAACAAACAAACAGACTTCACCCTCCACAACGTTGAAGGGCCAAGGAAAATGTAAGGACATGGAGACTGCTCTCTTTTCCCACAGCTTTGCTTGGCCCTGCATGTCTACAAGAAGACGTAGGCACTTGAGGGGGGCAGTCTGTCCACTGACCCTGTTCTGACTTACAGACTGTGCAAGCTGAGCAGTTGGGAGGCACAACCAGGAACAGAAATTCTCAGGGCTGTAGAGATGGCTTGGCAGTGAAAAGCACCGGTTGCTCCTGCAGGGGACCCAGAACTCACAGGCGGCTCACAACTGCTTTTAACTCCAGTTCCAGGGGATCCAACACCCTCTTCTGACCTCTGAGGACTACTGCTATTAACATGCCACAGTGTTGGTTTCTGCATGTGCACAGACATGCACTCAGGCACATGCATAAAATAAAAATAATTATTTTATTGAAAAGAAGGAAAGAAACGAAAAACAAAAACAATGCCACCAGTGGGGAGTAATCCCAGTACTTAAAACTCTACAGCAGGGGAATTTCTGTGACTTCCAAGACAGCCTGGGCTACAGAGTAAGATCTTGTCTCAAAAAAATAAAATAAAATAAAATAAAAACAATAACAAAATCTGTGGCTGAAATGAGGTGAGGGGGGTCAGATAGAAGGCTGGGTAACACATGAGACAGGTGTGAGTCACAGCCAGCTCACCCACTAGGACCAAACTGGGTCAGAGACTTATTGGAAGCCTCGGTGGCAAAGGAAATGCCACTGCCTTGCCCTCTGCTACAGCCAAGGGTACTTCCCCATCTGCTATGGACATGGGGAGATGAAACGGAGGGGGACCTACTGCAGTGGCATGACCTTCCCAGAGGAGGGACGCTATGTGCTCTCCATCAGAAGAAGTTGGACAAAGAAAACTCGGTAACTATCTTTATTATCCAAATTCCAGACAGAAGATCCTGCCTCGGGGCAGGACCGGCTAGCTGCCAAGGTGAACGAGGAGTGACTCCTGCAGGTAGCTCTTGTGGGCCGCCTTCTGGATCCACCACTCTAGGGTTTGAGGACAGGTGCCCCCAGAGTGCATGATGAGCCCAGGCTGGCCCCAGAGCTCCTAGGAGGGGCACAGCCACAGGAACTCCTGGACACAGGTGTACAGGGAAACTCTTGGGTGTGCAAACCCAGGTTCTAAGCTGTATGAAAAAGGAGCGAGCTGTGGTGTCATCGGGGCAGACAGCCGGCCACAGGGTCTGGCCGAACCTGCACAAAGTTCATAGGGTACAGAAGCAGGGGGCACAACTTCTCATGTTCCTTGAGAGCCTCACTCAGGTGCCTCAGCTCCTCCTTCAGCTTTGAAATCTCCCTGCGCAGCACGGCATTCTCCTGCTCCAGGCACTCGTACTCCTGTCCAAGAGAGAGGAGAGGTAGAGACGGGCGGCGTGGAGGTGCATGACAGCGGTCCCGGCACTCGGGAGGTAGAGGCAGGAGGGTCAAAGAATTCAAGGCCAGCCTGGGCTACAGAACTCTTCCCTTTTGTTTTATTTTGAGACAGGGTCTCACTATGTATCCCAGGCTAGCCTGGTGCTCACTGTGTGTCTCAGGCAAGCCTGGTGCTCACCATGTATCCCAGGCTAGCCTGGTGCTCACTGTGTGTCTCAGGCAAGGTGCTCACCATGTATCCCAGGCTAGCCTGGTGCTCACTGTGTGTCTCAGATTAGTTTCAAGCTTGTCGTGTTCCTGTCCACTTCCTATGTACTAGGGTTTCAGATGTGCACCATGGTGTTTGGTCACCTTGGTGTTTACTGGCTTCAGAGCTCTGTCTCCCCAAAGGAATAAAATGGTCCTAACAGTACAGCTTTCCTTTTGAATCAATACTACTGGGGTATCATGAAACGTGTCTTATGAAGTGTCTGTAATTCAGGGAGTGGTGACAAACGTGTATGTACACCTGTGTTGATATACAAAGCATCAGCTTGCACCTCCATCGCTCCAAAGTGGTCCCTCCTACCATTTACACCAGCTCTCATCCCCAATACTGACCTGCTTTTTGAAGATCTCTGGTGGGTTCATGGCCACCCCAATACCAAGAGCAGTACCTGGAACAGTATGCCTTGGCTGCACTGATAAATGCATGGATGCAAGCCTTTGGCTGCACTGATAAATGCATGGATGCAAGCCTTTGGCTGCACTGATAAATGCATGGATGCAAGCCTTTGGCTGCACTGATAAATGCATGGATGCAAGCCTTTGGCTGCACTGATAGATGCATGGATGCATGCTGTCCCTTCCAGTACTCTTCTGCTGTGTCTACTGCATCAGGGTGAAGAGGCTCAGAACTGGAGGGGATCAAGAACTCTTGTCATCTCCCCCAAACTGTGGAGGAACTTCTCATATGCAGAGCTAGCTCACACATCCATCTTGGGCTGGGCACCCTTCCTTCAAGGGACAGTCCCTGCCATTTCTGTGATACTCTACTCTCTTTGTAGTGATCGAAAACTCCTCCACACCCACCCATTGAGCTGGGCTCAACCCAATGGAGCCACACAGGATGAACTCAGTACTTTGCAACCTCAGCTCTTGAAATGATGGGCGACACACTCATCCCTCCCCCTTGGATGCTCTCTGAGCCTAAATGTCTCGAGTCCTCTGAGTTTCTTGTGAAGGACTGCTGGCCCCTCTGCCCTTGTAGCCACCACCCCTGGCACACACTCCAAGTTGCCGGCTCGCTGAGATGTTACTCTCGGAATGCCGTCCTCCTTCATGCTGGACCTAAGCCACAGGAGGCGTCCCCGAGTGTGCAGAAAGCTAAGCTCCAAGTGCAGGAGCTGCTGTCCCCACTCAAGTGACAATTAGAGCCTGGAGACAGGGCTTCCTGCAACCACTGAATCCCACTGTGTTCATTTGAATCTCCTCCACGGAGTCAGCTCATGGATACTTGCTGTCACACAACCTCATGGCTTCCGGGAACTTGGTTAGTCCTTTGCCCTCTTAATCCAGGCCATAGTCCACAGCTCATCACCAGCCTCTCCAGGCTGGGGTGTCTTTCAGTCTTGCTGAGCGGTCACCTCCACTCATGCCTAGCCTGACTTGTTTGGTTAGACTGTGACCCAAGCGTACCGGGCACTTCTCAAATACTAATCATTTCTAATAAACATCAGCTAAGAAGTCTGGCCTTAGAGCCCCCGAGACACGCATGCATCCTCAGCTTAGCCTGTGCAGCTCCCCTCAACCCCATTGCTTTCCTTTTCTCTGTGAGCTTAGCATGAGATCACCACCTCCAGGAAGGCTTCCCTGGGATCACAGCACATACAGGTCTCACATTTCTCATTCTGAGTTCTCTACACAGACGTACACTGTTGGATCCCACTTATAGTAAGTAATGTCTCTCCCTAAAAGTCAGAGATGCCGAGCCCCAGGAACTTCTGCCACCCTCTTCTGGACTAGCTCGAGTGGTCCAACCTGTGTGCTAACAACCACTCAGCCTGTTGTCTGTTTTCTTCCCATCTCTAGAAACCTCCCTTTCGGGGCCCCAAGAGGGACTGCAGGCACGGGCCATCTCAGGAAGGCTTCTCCAGAATTCTCTCCAGGGCAGCAGCCTTCGCTTCCTCCTTCCTGTAGGCTGCCCTGGGTCAGTGTGGCTTCACCAGTGCAGTGCCCTCCTTGCAGCTGCCTCTAGTTCCTGTGACCTCTGACCTCTAGCCAGCTGGAGTCCTGGCATGCAGATCTGGTGCCCTGCACCTGTGCATGACACAGATGGCAGGAACAAATAGTTCCAGTGAGCTGTTTTGCTGGATTTTCAGTTTCCATTCAATCCCATACTCCAAACCACCTTTCTGTAGTTCCTGAGTCTGCAGCAAGATGTCTGGGATTTGTGAGCACTGTCTCTGGACTTAGCCTGACTCCACCCCAGGTGCTTCTGTTCTCTAACCCACTGCTCTGAGAGTCACTAGAGTCCTCTGGCAAAGGCCCTGCACCTGCCACCTCCGGGTGGGGGGCGGTCTGGTCTCAGAAAGTACCACCACCTGCTCCCTAGTCTCTTTCCACACATATGCATTGTGCAAAATGATGGATTTCATCACCACCTGTGCCATGCACTTTGCTCCGCCCAATCCTCTCCAGTGCCCCAAGTCACACCACTGGTCCCTTCCTGTTACCCACAGGGACTTTCTTTCCTGGGATTTAAGTTTTATTCTTATGTTAGTGGAGGGACTTTTAGTGATCCGGTGGAATTGGAGGGAAAAATAAAAAGAGAAGCAGTAAAAACAACCAGGCGGGACTAATCATAAATAAGAGGCCCTGGGAGGGGAGGCCGAGGCCACTGAACACCAAGTAGGAACTAAGAGCAAAGAATAGTAAGCATCTCTCAGTGAGGAGAGAGGAATAGACTTAAGCTAGACAAAAAAAAAAAAAAAAAAAAAGAAAGAGAGACTACAGCTCAGGGGTGGAGCATTTGACTGCAGATCAAGAGGTCACCGGTTCAAGTCCACTGGTGACATGTCAAAACACCCTCTGCCATGCATGCTTGCTACTTCAGTTTACTGCCCAGGGAGTTGGGGCTCCTTGGCTAAGAGAGCATCAGAGGGTGCTGTGCCACCTCTATCCCAATCATCTAAGTCACACCCTCAAAGCAGGGCCCTCAGACACGGGTGGTGGAGCTACAAATATCAGGTGAGCCTCAAAACTCACGCTGCTTGAGCTGGGAATGTAGCTCAGTTGGTAGAGAGCTTTCTTAGCATTCATGAAACCCAGAGTTCAGTCCCCTATAATCCTAACACTCAGGAGGCAGAAGAATCAGAAGTTCAAGGTCAACTGCAGTCTGATGCCAGTCTGGGTTTCACAAGACCCTGTCTCAGAATAACCCAGTGGAGAACTGACTCCTGCAGGTGCCCTCTGACCTGACTCCACACACATGCTATGGCACATACACACTCAAATGTACACAATAGATTAAGATGTAATAAAGCAACCGTCCTCCTCACACAGAACAGCTGAGCATGTGGGGCTGTTGAGTGGGTGTGGTCTTGCATCCAGGGGGCAAAGCCAGGGACTCTGCTCCCATACCCTTCAAGGTCCTGCCCAATCTCCACCCACCCACATCCAGCAACCAGGCCCAATGACAGTTGTGCTGAAGTTGTCTTTCTGGGGTTTCTAGGGCCAGGGTCATTTGAAGCAGAGGACATGAATGAGGATGAACAGAGGCCTCAGGACAGTCACACAGAGGACCCATGTCACAAGTGAGAAATCTAAGCTCTGAGAGGCCCCGAGACCCTGAGATACCATCCCCAGCGTCAAGGCCAACCCCAACACTCAGGCATCACCAGTTTTGCCTTCTTTCAGCAGTGTGGGTCCGGATTTCCCCACAACAGTTACCAGAATTGAGATCTCAGGACTCTACAGTTGGTCTGTCCTAAGCCTTAAAGGAAGAGGGTTCCCATTTGAAAAAGTGCCACTGCAAGAGTCGTACAAATGAGTGTCACAATCAGTTTCTAAACCGTGTGTGCTGTCACCAGTATTCTTTCCCATCAGGCACTATTTGACATCCCCATGACAACACTCACCACAATCCCACATTGCCCAAGCCATTTGTCAGTTTGTGACATTTAAGCCTCCCAAGGCTGGCATTGCTCCCACCCTTGTCTGACTCAAAATCGTTTCTCGGTCTGACATCTTTGGGTGCCTGGTCAAATCTGGCCCATTTCTAAGCCAACTTTCAGCATGGCACAGGCACCCTGCAGTTTCATCGTGGTTCCCATCTGGGAATGTAGACTCAACCTAATGCTTCCCAGACAGAAATGCAGATCCAAGTTCCACAGAAAGTGTCAACACTGAACACTGGGGGTCAGGGACACTTTAGGTCACAACTATTAGCAACCATGACCTTGAGGAAAACTCCTAGGAGTCCCTCAGTTTGGCCCAGAAGAGGAGAGGGAAGTAGCCAAGAAACTCACAAAAGTGAGAGGCCAAGGTATCTTGGGCTCGAGGTCAGCTGGCATGAGTGAGGGGCACAGAAGAGACAGATGGCCCCATTAGTGCCTAGCCCTGTATTCAGACTGTGTGTGCTCCCTGGAGAGCCAGGTCCTAGGGAGCACACACAGCACAAACACATAGCACAAACACATAGCACAAAGCCCTCACTAGGTACAGAGCACAAAGCCCTCACTAGGTACAGAGCACAAAGACCTCACTAGGTGCAGAGCACAAAGCCCTTTCTTGTCCCGAACACTCCCTTCTGTGGCATTCATAGAAGAAAAGCACACAACCAGAGCCACTGTGACATTCAGGGGTCTACTCTGCACTTGGGACAGGGAGAGGAGAAGATAAGGAAGCACCCAGGTCGTGGGCCACTCCCCATCCAGAATCAGGCGGTCTCAGCCACCAGGTGGCTGTTTCCCAAGCCCACAGCTGGCTTCTCTCCAGGTGTGAGGTTTCCACGCATGGTGTCCTTTCCTCAACCTAAATGTACCCTGGGAGCCCCAGGTCCCCTGGGCTTTCCAGCATGATCTACAGTGATGTGCTTAGTGCCTGTACTCCATTCACCATATCTCAGTGACAATACTACTTACCCCTCTTTTCAACAGTGCCTCACTCCAGGGTGCAACACAAAACACAGATTCCCCATAGCTATAGCATCCTATGGAAGGAGGCTGGGAGGAGACCATGAAGGGATTTCCCACAGGGTGTCTCTGGGTCCATAGCTGCCAGGCTTTTATTTTCACTTTCCTAAGACAGTTTCTTGCTTGCTAATATCCCCTGTGACCAGTGACCCTTCAGTGTAACTAATGGGGACAGCCAGGGCCACAGCTTTGTAGTCCATGCACACATGTAGCCACTGTCCTGACCTACTTGACAGCGGCTCTCAACAACGCTGGCCCTGCAGAGGTGGTGTTGCTCACCTGTGTATCCAGTCCCGGTGAGGAAGAGAATGACAAATCCCCTCCCCCCAGGGCACTAGCTTCAGATCAATATGCCCTGTCCTAGGGAGCGCACAGCTGCCAGGCCACACAGACCCTGGGCAGAAGTACATCTTAGGACCCTGTGAAGAGCACGCCACCCCTGGCTTTACAAGGGACAAGGTAGGAGCAGCAGCAACACTCCTAAGTCCCTGGTTCACTTGGTTATCAAGGTCAGCTACGACACACTGAGATAGAACGAAAGTGCCCTTTGCATGTCCATTCCTGGCACTCCTAAGGGCATTTGTTACCTTCTGTGGCAGGAAAAACACCAACCCCTAAAGATGTTTCCTCCTAATCTTTGGGACTTATGAAAGGAACCTAACTTAACAAAAGGGACGAGAGTATGGAGCATAAATGGGGGGGGTCACCCCAGCAGGACCAAAAGCATCAGGTGAGCCCTAAGTCAGGAGGGAGAGGAGGTGATGTAACAGTGGGGCAGTACTGCTTTGAAGATGGAAGACCACAAACCAAGGGATGTGGAACTCCCCAGAAGGTGACAAAAGCAAGGAAATGGATCTTCTCCCGAGCCTGCAGAAGGAACACAGCTCTGTCAGCACCTTCACTGTAGCACAGTGGAATGCATTTGGACCGCTCGGGAGGGCAATGAATTTTCTGGATTTCATTACAGGAAATGAATCCTATGCTTCCTAAGGTCTCTCTTCTCTGAGACTCCACAGCAACACTGCACCCAAGGAAGTTCTTGGTAAGCACTTTTGGATTTACTGTGTTGCCTTGTCTAAGACACTCGGTCACCTCTACACACACCATCACTCAGGATTTACAAATGGCTGTAACCCTGATTGGACTGAAAGCTTCTTGAGGGGAGGGACCTGGCTCTCCAGGGAGCACACACAGTCTGAATACAGGGCTAGGCACTAATGGGGAGTCCCCTGGTCTCCAGAGAAGGCTACTAAGCAACACAGACCCTTAGGACAGTACGACCTAAGGACCTCAACCTCATGAACAAGAGGGAAGGACCGAGGCAAAGGGTATTGCCAGTATTCTGTGCAAGTTTTAAGATCTCATGAAGACAAGTGAGACCTCCCCTGAAGCCCATCTAGAGACCCTGACCTCTAGGCGTCAGCCTTCCTACTTCCAACAAAGGCACTGCACACTTACAATGTATGCCATGCTGTGTGTTTCTGTCGGTGCTACCTGGAGTGTGTGCATTCTAAATGTGTTCCAGTTGTGGTGAGGGTGTTTTCAGATATTCTTTCCTCTCTCCTAACAACTGAGTATCTGAGCTGTCAAAGCCCTGATCAGCTTTGGGGAAACATGCATGGCGTGGGGGGGGGGACTGCACAGCAGGAGAGAGCTATACTAGAGGGGGGGGACTGCACAGCAGGAGAGAGCTATACTAAACCTTAACTCTGTACAGCAGCAGTGCACAGCTAGGACTGGAAACATCCCCCACCCCTCACCAGTCCCTAAGGGGAGCAGCTCCCAGTCCTAGTTGTGGGACTGTGTAGGTTTACACACCCCAGTCACGGAAAGCACAATCATGGGGGTAGGTAAATGGCACTGCTGTGGCTGAATGTGTCCGCCAACTGGCTGGCCTGAAAACTTGGTCCCCAAACAGCAACACTGTGAGGGAGGACCTTGGGGAGATGAGTCACAGATGCTATGTTCTCATGAAGAGATTAAGTCATTAACTGGTGGTTGGGCTACCATGGGAGTGGCTGCTTACAGAAGCAAGTTCTCTGATTTGTTTGCTGTCTGGGCCTTCGTGCCCTCCACTATATGAACACATAGCACAAAGCCCTCACTAGGTACAGAGCACAAAGCCCTCACTAGGTACAGAGCACAAAGCCCTCACTAGGTACAGAGCACAAAGACCTCACTAGGTGCAGAGCACAAAGCGCTCACTAGGTGCAGACCACAAAGACCTCACTAGGTGCAGAGCACAAAGACCTCACTAGGTGCAGAGCACAAAGCCCTCACTAGGTGCAGAGCACAAAGCCCTCATTAAGTGCTGTGCAGATACCAAGTTGATGCGGTTCCGTATTCTGAAACTTCTAAGCTTCCAGACCCTGAAGCTTAGAAGCCAATAGTCTCTTTTTTATCGATGACCCAATCTGTGGTATTCATTAATAGAGAAAACAGACCAGATACAGGCTCCTGATGTGAGAGATAAGCCAGGCGGTTAGGCGCCATGAGCCGCCATGTGGAGGTAGTGAGAAGAGAAAGTCTTGGTAAAGAGACCACATTCTGCCACGAAAGTGCTTGCAGGGAGCTTGCAGCAGAGCCCCAGGGGATGCCTCAGCCAAAGTGAGGTCCTGACTGAGCACTAGGCCTGCCTGTAAGCAATGTGTGGATGGTTAACGCTGATGAAAGGACAAGTTAGTAGAGAAACATCCCACCACACGATGAGAAAGCAGCCGAGTATCAAACCTTAATCAACGCCAACACCTGAGGAAAATACAGATGCTAGGTGGTGGTGGTGGCACACACCTTTAATCACAGCACTTGGGAGGTAGAGGCAGGCGGATCTCTGTGAGTTCAAGGCCAGCCTGATCTACAGAACGAGTTCCAAGACAACCAGGGCTACTCAGAGAAACCCTGTCTTGAAAAACAAAACAACAAAAAAAGAAGGAGGAGGAGGAGGAGGAGGAAAGAAAGAAAGAAAGAAGGAAAACAGACAGAAAGGAGAAGGGGAGGGAGGAGGAGGGAGAAGGAGGGAGAGGCAGAGAAAGGTGGCACGCCTGTGATCGCCGTACTCGGCAGGCTGAGGCAAGACGCAGACTCTACAGACTACATAGCGAGACCGTCTCGAAAACAAACTATACCAAAACAAACAAACACCAGAGACCCCACAGCTTGGCAGCAAGCAGGCACGGCAATGGAGTTTACATTTGATCCACAGGCACAAGGCAGAGAGGGAGAGCGCTAAACCGGGAAGGTGTGGGCTTTTGAAACCTCGAAGTCCACTCCCAGTGACACACCTCCTCCAACGAGGCCACACCTCCTAACCCTCCCCCAATGGTCCCACCAACTTCCATACCGAGCATTCTAAGGTATGAGCCAATAGGGGCCATTTTCATTCAAACCATACACGCAGGTGAGGCAAGAATTTGAAAAGGAATTAAAAGCACAAACAGCCATTTTGTTTAGTGTTTTCAATTTTTATTTTTGGTTGAAAGAGGGTCTCAGGTAGCCTAGGCTGGACCGCAAACTTGCTGTGTTGCCAAAAATGGCCTTGAACTCCTCATCAGCACAAGAGCCACCTCACCCAGCTTCTTTTCTTTTATTTATTTATATTTATTTATGTTCTTTTTTGAAACAGGGTTTCACTATAAAGCTCTAACTTGCCTTGAACTCACTCTGTAGACTAGGCTGGCTGCAAACTCACAGAGATCTGCCTGCCTCTGCCTCCTGAGTGCTGGGATCAAAGGCGTGTATTATCACTCCCAGTAGTGTGAGTGTGTGTGTGTCTGTGTGTTGTGTGTGTGTCTGTGAGTGTGTGTGTCTGTGTGTTGTGTGTGTCTGTGAGTGTGTGTCTGTGTGTGTGTCTGTGAGTGTGTATGTGTCTGTGTGTGGTGAGGCTGACCTTGGCCTTCTGTCAGCCTCTACACCCAAGTGCCAAGGTAACAGGCATGCACCGCCACACCTGACTTATGGGGGATTCAGTCTTTACCCAGGACATCTGTGTGTGTACCAGGCAAGCACTCTACCGAAAGGCTTCCCCAATGCTTTACTTTTTACTTTTTACTATTATTATTGTCATTTCTTGAGACAGTCTTTCCCTAGTTCAAACCAGCCTCAAACTGGGTATCCTCCTGCCTCCACCGAGTGCTGAGGACAGGTGTATGCCACCACGCTCAGCTTTTGTTTGATTCTTTAGTGACAGCAAATGCAATGTGGGAAGCACCCAGAGGCTGGCTTGAAGGGAAGAGGCCTGTGAACAAAGAAGCAAACCAACAGGCTGGAAAGACCCGGCAGGATACAGAGTTGTGATGAGCATGGTGACATCATCACCCGGCCCCCTCCCCGGGGCACAGGACGGCTGTCCCTGTGGCAGTCCTGCCCTGACCACAGTCTCACCTCATGGAGCTTGTCAGCTTTCTGGGTCTGCTTCTTCCGGCTTCTCTGAGCAGCAACCCGGTTTTTCTCTCTCCTCCGAACCTTCCTGTCATCATCCTCGGGGCTCTGGGACATGTGGAGAAGACACAATGTTCAGTCCTCTCAGCTTTGCTCACAGAGCTCCACCGACGGTACCCCCTGTACCGCTAGCCAGCTGCTGCTGGCCCTTGTTAAGAGGCGCCCCGTCCGTCCTGGGGCTTCGCTTTATGTTCATCTCCACCCCCCATCCTGAGAAATATGCACTGAGACTGTCATTTTTAAATGAGGAATAAGAGGCCTGGGTGCAGCCTAGTGGTGTCACGTTTGTGTGGGATACGTGAGGCCCTGCGTTCCATACCCAGTACCACAAAAAAACAAAAATACCAAGAGACAGGAATAAGAAACTCAGGTTAGGGAAGTTCTCCAGGTATCATGGCCAGCGTGGGGTGAGCGGGAAGTGGAACTCAGGTCTGCTGGTCTCCAAACCAACGTTCGCTCGCAAACCTCTGCCCCACAGGGCGTTTGCCTGGAAGAGCTGTAGTGTCACTGCTCCTCTGAGAGTGGGAAAGGCGGGGTGTCTGCCCTCTGAAACTTGCTGGGCACCGTCTTTACACCACCGCACACTGGCAAGACCTTTTAAAACCGTGCAGACCATAATCATGCATTTATTACTAATTGCAGCCACATAATTCTACCAGTGCGTAGAACGCCAATGACGACATGCTCACTTAAACAATGCTTGGCTGACATTTTCTTTCAGAGGTCAGGGTTATTCCAAATGCAAATTTGTGATGTATCTTGAAAGTTCTTAACCAAATATCCAAAAATTCTTCATAAGGTGGCATGAAGTGGGCAGGCAGAAAAACTTATTCAGTGGAAAAAGTTTGCTTTCCAGAAATGCATTGGAACCATTGAGGGATCGAAAAAAAAAAAAAAAACCTTCAAGATTTAAGTCCAAAAGGCGTCTAGAAGGGGAGGGAACTTAGAATAGGCTCAGGGTGTAACCCCAGCACAGGTAAGAATAGACAACTTGCACAACAAGGGGAGTGACATGGAGACTCTGTTCAGCAGAACAAAGAAGGGTGCCAAAATGTGTCTTCTAGAAGTCTCCCTCTCCCTCTCTCTCCCTCTCCCTCTCCCTCTCTCTCTCTCTCTCTCTCTCTCTCTCTAAACAGAATTTCATGTAACCCAGGTTGGCTCTGAACAACCCCCTTCCCCCTGCCTCCCTAGCTCTGGGATTATAGGCCTTCATCACTATGTCCAGCAATCCTAAGAGCCTTGATAAACATCCAGGCGGACAGGCAGTATTAACGACAGAACTTCAGCATTATACCCTCACAGATCCTACTATAAACGCAATTCACCCATCCTTCCAATGTGTACATTAACTAGGAACCTGTCATGTACTCAGAACTCTGTTAGTCCTTAGGGACAGCTGCCCTCAACAGTGGTCGGTCTCGGCTGTTGAGGCTGGCCTGTAACGCACAGATTTTGACCTCTTTATTCTCCAAAGCCAACAAGTCTCAGGGCAAGGGACAGCATGCCTCCTGTCCTCGGGATCTGTCCCTGTAAACTGGACCTATCACCTGTCACAGATGATCACACCTGCCCACTCGGCAGAAATCTTGCGCGGAGATACAAGTCCTGCACAGCTCAAATAATCTGTGCAAAAAAAAAATCCTCAGGAGTTGATGCTACAGGGTTCAACTTATAGATAGGGAAACTGAGGCTCAGAGAGGCGAAGCAAATGGTACCTACGCGGCTCAGACTTCGGAGTAACCCCAGGACACTACATGTCAAGCATGGATAGAATTGGGAGTGCGGGACTAAGAGAAAACCAGCTAATTGTTTTAACCAAGAAGGGTTCCGACAGCTGTCTCAGCTTCTTTGTGGTGCAGCTGTGAAAGTTGGGGACAGCAGAGGGGGCTGATCGGATAGGGGCGAGGAGTTTCCACCTGTGCTGGGGGGTGGAGTCTACCCACTAGAGGCACAACCCCACACCGGCAGGCTGACCTGTCCCACGGTCCCCGTGCTGACCTTAGCGGGTGGGTTGGATGCAGGGACGAACCGCCCCTTTGGGCTGAATTCCCAGTATCGGCCCTCTCCCTCCAGCGTGGGCAGTGGGCAAGGACGCAGTGGCCCCCAGCAGCGCGCAGACCCACGTGTCCGGCGCGGGCAGGCGGGCGAGTC